TTCCAGCGCAGACATGAATCATGCCTTCATCTGAGTTTTGGGCCTGAACAGAGAAACAGAGCGCGCCCCCCCAGCGACGCGCTCAAGGCTTAGTTCCTCTTGAACTTGGCCGCGCCCCAGCGCGCGTAGACGTTCGACTCGACTTACGTCGGGTCGAAGAACGCCCCAACGCGCGGGGCCGCTGGCCAGCCAAGCCGCCGTCGTCGAGCACGCAGGGTGCCCGTGTCTGGCCAACCTTCGGAGTGATCTGAAGCAGCATTCCATGGCGCTTCCGAGCCTGCCTCGGAAGCGCGATGATCGGCATCTTCAAAACCCTCGGACGTCCCCTCTGAAGAAGCCCATCTCCGAGGCAACGCGAACGGCTGGAGTGGCGACCACGCGGCCGCGCTGCTCGTTCACGCAGTCGGCGCGGTGCCTGGCCAGCGCCATGGCCATGATGTGCATCAACGGCGTCTTCCCAAACTTGGCCTCGCCAGTCGAGAGGGCAGCGTCGCCGGGGAGTGCGCGGATGATCCTGTCAATGGCTGGCTGATGCTCTTTGCGGATGTCTCCCTCTAGCAAGGGGTAGTGCGTTTCCTTCGCCGCGAAGTGGTTTCTGTCCCTGAGGGCCTGGGGCGCCTTGTTGACGAACTCCCTCCTCGCGTTGGCCAGGGGGGATGCTGGGTTGCAGCGCTCTTGCTCCACCCGCAACAACCGCTCGCCATCCCAGTTTGTGCGTGGCGCTTCATCCTTGGTGTATGGCATCGCGTCGGCGAGCTCCTTCTGCTTCTGCGCCACGTCGCCCTCGCCGACAGGCCCGCGCACCGCGCTTGGGCGCTCGCGTCTTCAATCGCGAGACAGAATGCCGCCCATCCGCTCGAGCATGATCTGGAAGGCGCGCATGCTGTTGAACCTGCATGGCCTGAAATCAAGCATGCGAGCGTCGCCTTGGATGAATTTGCTCTGGATCTCGCCCATGGTGCGCCCATTGCCGAGGAACATGAATTGCTTCAAGATGACCTGCGGTTGCGGGTCGGAAGGGTTCTTGCAAATCAAGATCTCCATAGTGCAAGGCAGCTCGTCTTCCGTGCTCGCGAAGCCAAGAGGAGGCGGCAATTCCCCATACCTGCCTTCATCCATTATCTTCTTCACGTCATCCCACGCCAGTGCATCCATCCTAGGCGCCTCAGTGATCACATCGACAGCGGACTTGATGTACACCCTTGGCCTGTAGTTCCAGCGCTTGATCGGCAAGTCGAAAGACGACGCGGACCCGACGGGGTCGCGGCCCACGGCGCCGCCCGCGTCGGGTTTGCCGAGGACGATTGGGTCATCCTTGGCCTTGTTCCATGCCTCCACGAGCTTGCCGCTCGTGTGGTCGGGGTGCCCCAGCCGCAAACCCAATCACTTCATTCCCTGCGCTGTCACGTTCGGCGCCTCCATCGCCGCCTTGGGAGCCATGGCTAAGAGGGGGTCTCAGAGCGCAATGGTCGGCCAGCCTGATCCTAACTGCTGAATCCTGCGATTGAGTCCAAACAGCTTCGAACGTAAAGATGTCGACAATGACGCTGTCATTGCCGCAATGTGGCAAGACTGGCGACGACGACGACGCGGCAGCGACGGCAGCAACTAACGCGGGTGGAGGAGCGAATGGGGCAGGGGCCAGTCGCACCGTTGGCCGTAGATCACATGTTCCGTGGGCTGTAGAAAATGCGCAGCCCAAACTCATGGTCATCAAGCACGGTATATATATATATATATATATATATCGTGCCCTCGCGAGTGTCGCTGCCGTGGCCATCCTCAGTGCACGCCGCTCATCTCCGCGTAGAGCATGTCGCCTGTGGCCACCCAGAGGTCGTTGCCCCTGTTCCAGGACTCCCACTGTCCAGAGCGAATCCTGCGGGCCAATGCTTGGCTCTCGGGCTTCAGGGAGCGGCTGCTGATGTGGTTCTTCAAGAACTGCCAGGCCCTGTCCACGATCAGCGTGCCGCCCTTCACGAGGATGGGTCCGCCCCCAGGCAGCTTGTGACGCACCAGCTTGGTGAACGTGGGTTTGATCCACACCCACTTGCCGCAGATTTTCTCGCGCTTCCGCGCATGCGCGACCCAATCATGCAAGACCCCCTTCCGCCCGCATCTTGTAGCTCTTGGCGCCGCCGGAGTGGAGGATTACCTTCTGGTGCTGCAAGCGGGTGAGCAAGAAAGGCTTCCAGTCTGACTTGGTGATTGCCCCAGGGCCTGGCGCCCTCGGGACGGTTCGTGTCGTTGTGGGTGCGCCACAGTGCCCAGCTCTGCGGGCGCCCGCGCTCAACGCAGCCAGCCCACTGTTCCCACTCCTTCGTCTTCTTGTCGGCAGATAGCGCCGCGCGGACAACCGTCTCGTCCGCTTCCACGTCTGCCCATTCGTCGCCGCCCCCGAACACGATCTCCTTTTTCCTTCTTCTCGACGAACCGCTGGCGGGCTGCATCGAGGTACTTCGACATGTTCTCGATGGCCTTGTGATTGATGTTGCGCAGGAAGTGAATCTGCGCCGTTGTCAACCCGATCACCAGGCAGAACAGCATGCTTGCCTTGTCCTTCAACGATATCTTGCTCTGGCCCCCGCCGTCGTTGAACACGGTGTGCCCGTAGCACGCGCCCACCTGCTTCCCGCGCCGCCGGCCGCTGTTGCATCGCCACTTCACCGACCCGTCCGCCTGGACGCGCCGATTGCCGAGCTTGCCCTCCCCGCAATGCGGACAGATACGGCCAGACCAATCGAGCAAGATGTTGTCCTCGATCAGTACATAATGATGATGCTGATGCTGATGCTGATGCTGATGCTGATGATGATGATGATGATGATGTTGTTGATGATGATGATGATGATGATGATGATGATGATGATGATGATGATGATGATGATGATGATGATGATGATGATGATGATGATGATGATTGATGGATGATGATGATGATGATGATGATGATGATGATGATGATGATGATGCTGAGGAAGATGAGGATGAAGGATGGAAGGAGGAGCGGGAAGAGGCGGAGGAGGAGGAGGAGGAGGAGAGGGAGGAAGGACGGAGGGAAGGAAGGAAGGAAGGAACGCGGGGCGCTGTCTTTTCAAAACGAGGACCCAACATCACAGGATGGTTGGGAAAAACCAGTTCACGCCGGATCTATAGATTTTTTTTCCGTGACGTGGGCCGCCCAGGATCGCGCACCCTTCTTTGGGGCCTGTTCTTCATCCTGAGCCGTTTTTGACAGTGTTGGGGCCAGAAGCCAGCTTCCAGAGGGAGTGGCGAAAAACGGGCCGTCTCGATTTTTTCTTTCGAGTCGCCGGATCTCTGTGGAGGGTGGCGGCGATGGCCGAGGATGAGGAAAGGAGGAGGACGACGACGACGTGACATCCACGTCAAGCACGTTGCCCGCCGGGAGGAGGATCAGGACAATCGATCCTGGCAGCGACAGGGGTACAACACTCTGCACGCCTGCGCACAGTGCCCGGAGAAGGAATAGGAAGAAGGAGGTGGAGGGAGCAGGTGGAGCAGGAAGGGAGCTGTTTTGGATTGTTTTGCGAACCCAGGGAGCCATTCGAGAAACGTCGTCGCATCCCTTTCGAACTCTTGGTCTCGATGGTCTTTCCGCAGTCGCCCCATATCCTTGTGCCTTCAGTCGCTGTTTGGTTCTGACCAGGGAGGGGGTGGATGGCCCCTCCCTGAGCGGAGGGTGGATGATGATGATGATGATGATGATGATGATGATGATGATGATGATGATGATGATGATGATGATGATGATGATGATGATGATGATGATGATGATGGTGATGGTGATGATGATGATGATGACGAGGAGAGGGGCCAGAGTACACCCAGGACGTGTCCACGATGCTGCCATATGCATACCGTCCTCCCACCCCCCTCCTCACAGTCCCACACCTGTCCGCTGCGGCAAGCGCCCCCCCTATGACTGACGAGAGCCCAGAGGGCCTGCGACTCGGGCGGGGCCCCACGCTGCAAGGGATCCGCCCTCCATGTTTCCCGGGTCCCAGAATCAGGAGGGAAAGAAGCACACAGACACAGTTAATCCTCGATTCCCGAGAAAATATGGGAAGACATGGGAGGTGGGGGGGAAGACAGAAGCCCAGAAGATATGGGAAAATGTGGGGCATCTCTTTATTTGTGTGTGTGTTTCTGTGTGTGTGTGTGTCCTTGGGCCCCCATTGCAAGAGACGCAGCGAGACGGGGTGGTACGGTTCAGGGACGTGTCCAGCGATAGTCCCGTCTTAGAATGGATGTGCTCCCCACGCGTGTGCTGCGCCATGCCCGGGAGGAGCCTCCTCCTCCTACCCCCCCCCCTCCTCCTCCTCCTCCTCCTCCTCCTCCTCCTCCTCCTCCTCCTCCTCCTCCTCCTCCCCCTCCTCCTCCTCCTCCCCCTCCTCCTCCTCCTCCTCCTCGTCCTCCTCCTCCTCTGCTCTGTCTCCCCACTCAGAGCTGTGCGCAGCCCGCCCAGCTTTTGAACCGGACGAGGTCCGCTCTCGCCCCGCAGACCACAGCGTGTGCTGCACAGTGTCAGGGCGACGGTCGCACGCCCGGTGGACAGAGCAGGATCCGCCCTCCACCCGTGGAACGGTTGCACGGCTTTGGGCTCGAGAAGGCTCTGAAGCGAGAGCCGCATTCTGTAAAGGAGCAGGCCCCGATCCTGGCAGTTGCTGTGAGCTCTTAAGGCGAGTGCGCGCGTCACTATGGCGGGAGCCGCATTGTGAAATCGAACTGGCCTCGGTCGATGTAACAGTTCGAGCATTAGCGGATGTACGCGGCGATAGTACGATAGCCCCATTTTGAATACGAACTTGCCTTTCACCTCAGTAACCTTTGGTCGCGTCACGCCCAGCCCGGCTCACGGACACGTCTGGTAGTGAGAAAGGGGGTGAGTCATCTATCAGGAAGGGGGATGGAGGAGGAAAGGAACGTGTAGGAGGAGGCGTTGTTTGTGAGTTGGTCTGCGGCTTGGATTGCCAGTCCAGGTGTTCATCTATTGGTGCCTCAACCTGATAGCAGTGGAGATCGAGCAGCCCTTTGGCATGGACACGGGGGAGAGTTGCGGCAGGAACGACAGGCGGTCATTTTGCGGGCGGCTCCACCAAAGAGCTTATTTGCACAGGCCTTTCCCCGGTTGTCCTCCTCTGCGCGGCAGGCGGTTGGGGTGAGGACATGTGAGGACGAGCTCATGACGTATGACCGTGGTGAATCTGACAATCGTTCCTCCTCCCTTGCCTTTCCTCGCTCCATCATCATGCCCTCCTTGCCTCTCTCCTCCCCCCCTCATCATCCAATTCGGCGCATGAGACGAGAGTCTGCCCTCACGCGGGTGGTTTCCTGTGTGTTCCTGGCCCAGAGAAAATACCATCGGTCGATCGCATTGGCGGCGCCGAGGAGGGAGCGCTGCCAGCGAGCCAGGCATCGGAGGGAAGATGGGGGAGAGGGTGTGGGTGGGGGAACGGGATCGGATGGGTGGGGGGGCGGGAGGGGACGTCGATTCGTCTAGCCATTGGAGCTTCGCAGAAGTTTCCGATAGCCAGAAGCCAGGATGGGTTGGCCTGAAATTCTGAGAGCCCACCATGGGTGCTTCAAAGCATGCTTTGTCCGCACCTCCCCTGGACTTTCGACATTGTCATATATTCCATGTCGTTCCTTAGGACACTGAGGAGGAGGAGGAGGAGGAGGAGGAGGAGGAGGAGGAGGAGGAAGGCAGGATCGGATGGATCAGCGGTGGAGCGTTTCTCCGTGGGCACCCTTGTTCTTGCGGTCATTCGTGGCCCCGCACCGAAGCAAGGCGAAGTCGAGACCCGCTCATGCCCTGAGACCAGCTTGGCCAGGAGGTGGTTACCATACGTCTGGTGGGGGCGTCGGATAAGTAATTCCTCCCTTAAGGGTCTGGCGACCAGGTCCTCGGCCCGGGGGGCTCCACTTACAAAACATAATAATAAACAAAGAAAAAACAAAAGACGCATCAGACTTTAGTCTCTGGGGCCGGTGGGCTCTTTTCAGCGCTCGGAGCGATTTTCCAGGCCCCCGGGGGCCTCCAGGACGGCCCCAGAGTACGCAAAGGGGCCGCCGAGACGGACCAACGTGGCCAGGGGGGCTCCCAGATGGCAACAAGCTGGCCAGAAGTGATCCCAAGGACCGCGCGAACGGGTCCAAATGGGTCCGCGGGGCAAGCCTTGCTGATTTGTCAGAGAATTCTGACTCCAAGGGGCTCTGAAGAGGGCCCAGGAGGCCCAGATCAGTGAAAACCGAAAGAGAACCCTTTGAAGATCTCGCTGTTTTCCTTCCGATAGGCTTGCCTCTCGATGTCCTGTCGCGGGCCCTGTTGGACCCGCTCGCACTGCCTTTGAGGTCTCTTCTGGCCAGTCTGTGGCCATCCAGCAGCCCCGTAGGCCAGCTTAGTCAAGTTTCGCATCCTCTTGGCGCCCACTGGGGCCGTCCTGGAGGCCTCCGGGTGCCTGGAACATCGTCTGGAGTGTTGGAAAGAGCCCGCCTGCCCCAGGGTGGCGTGACCTGGACTGTGTTGCGTGCCGTGCTCGTTGCCGCCCGCGTCCGTGGCAGGGTTCCAAGCAACGGCGGCCTGAGCAGCCCAGTCACTTTAAGGGTAGCTCTTTGGGAGATGTTACAGTATCGGGAGCATAGCTCGCGCGCCGCTGCCTTGGGCTCAAGGCACGCGCGCCCTATTTGCCCGGACACTGCTTGTGTTCGCTATGTGCTGGAAAGATCATTACATCGATCTTATCCTATCTTACCCATCCACCCCTCGTACTGTACCCTCACAGCAGAGCGATGGATGCAATTTGCCAGGCTATATGCCCTATTTGAGTTACCAGGCTCACTTTCGACTTGGTAGCGGAGCTGGCCGCACTCTCGTGTGGTCAGCTCTTGCTCTTCTCAGCCTCACATTCTTCGGCACGATCTTCGTGACCACCTACTACCCTGCGCCACCACTCCCAGTACATTTACGAGGATCTATTCAAGAGCAAGAAGCTACACGAGAGGTACGACGTCTAGACGACCAGATTGGTACCATATACGCTTCATCATTGCGTTACTATCAACCGCTCGGCAACGAGCCAATAACGCAATACCTGAAGCAAGGGCGGGGAAACCCGCCAGACAGAGCGCCTCGAAGACTCGACAAGGCGCTACCCCAGCGCGACACCGCTCATCATAACCGTCCTTCGTTACACATTCTCGGGCTAATCGTTTTCGCTATCATATGGTTCGCGCTGGGGGCAGCAATCGCACACATGCGTCGGGGAGATAACAGCACCGATGGGCAAACACATGGCCCATATTGGGACCCTCAGGGTAATGTACCTTTTCGTGAGTACATTTACGAGGTCAACGCGTGGCTCAACGTTACAAGCGGACGTATGACGCCACAGGCCCAAGCGGCCGCAATACAACGCGGCCTGGGAGGCCTAGCGAGGACACTCGCCATGAGGGTACCGCCTGACATTATAAACTATGGTGCTGACATTGATGGGGTCCACACAGACCCAGTAACTTACATCATGTTCCTCCTCAGCATGAAGTTCGAACGCCTGGAAGATGAGCGACAGCTCACTTCCGGCACACAACTCATCGACTTCCATGTGCCTCACGGGGAACGAATCGATGTCACTCTTGCCCGATTCGAAATGGCCCGACTTGAGGCACAGTCTGTGGGATTCGACCTTCCTAACTTCCAACTGCTAACCACTATCCTATTCCGCGCCTTAGGCGTCGGCAACCAGAAAGCCATGCAACTCTTACAGCCACTCAACCACCAAATGCCTCGAACACAACAACAATATGATGAGCTGCTGGAAAGGATGCGTTCGGTAGGTCACCTATCCGAACGATCTCCTGGCAACATAGGATCCGTGTTTGGAAGAGGAAGGGGATCTGGTAGTGGAAATTTCTACACTACCTTGACTACTGAAGCCCAGCCTGGAAACGGGCCCTCAAACATATGGGCCGATGACCCAGGAGAATCCACTGCTTTATTAGCAGGGGATCGATCACAACCAAGCTGGGCAACCAGCCCTCCTTCTAGAGAACCACAACCACACCGCTCGTTATGGGGGGAATCAAATCCCCTAACCGACGGTGTATCCACCTATTTAGGAGACGAAGATTTCGACTCCGGCACCGATACAGACACTATATCATCAGATGGTGTTGAAGCTCTAGATTGGTCAGATATCATGAATATGGATAACGACAATCAGCGTGCTGAGCATTTATTCTGGCTGTTACAACAGGCTAAACGAAGGTGGAAGAGGTTCACACGAAAACCAGTGCGTCGTGTGAGAAGGAGGATACGCAGAAGTTTGAAAGGAAAGGGTAAAGGCAAGCGTGGTCGTCGGAGGTTGAACGGGCGAGGTATCGCGGCATTTCTCCAGAGGCTCTCAGATGAACAACATGATGAGATATTCTTTGGGGGAAAAGGCCGCGGTAAAGGCCGTAGAGAGACCTCAGGTAAAGGTAAAGGTAGGCGGGGAAACCCGCGAGGTAGAGACGGCCAGGTTCTCAAATGTCATGAATGTGGTAGTTCCGACCATCTTGTGCGAGATTGTCCAGCGAAGGGAAATGGAAAGGGCATGTCGTCCGAAGTCCATTTCGGCTCAAGCACACCATCCATTGAGTATCTGAGCCTCCAGGACTTTGAGGCTATGGAACAAATATTTTTCACATGGGTCGTTGGCATGGACAACATTGACGAGCTCGAGGGGTATGGTCATGGATTATACGCGTACTACCTCGAGTACGTCCGCCGGTTCGTCACGGGCAGTAATGAACTCACTCCCGTGGAACACGGTACGCTCGGAAACGAGCCTCTTTCCTTCTTCGACTGGATGTTCGGGAACCCAGGCAACATCATGGCCTACGAGAGCGACGACGAGGACACCACTATAGAGGCTTCGCCTTCCGAGGTTCAACGGAACCTCGAACCTCCGCCCGAAATCCCGCCTGGAAACAGGCCTTCTTTGATGGGGGAATATCCCCAGACCACTGAAAACTTAATTGAAATGGAGTCTCAGGCATTTGTTCAGGCCTTCATTGCAGGCGAACCAGATATTCCGTTCATACCTCCTGGTTCGCTAGCTCCAGGCGAATATGGACCACGTACCCTTTTGCAGATCCTCATGAGGATGCATGAGATACTTACAATTGGTTATCCTGAGAGTCAAGAGCACATCGAAGCTGGCATCATGACAGAACAGGATAATGATGCTTGCGGTAGCTCAGAGCTACTCTTGGCAGCTTTGACTCTCATTGACAGTATAAATCCTCAGGAAGTGCAGAGACACTTGATATACTCCCATGGTGGATGGCGTCGTGCCCTGGAAATGGCAATGGCTATGCGTGGTCATGATCTTCCCCCGCCAGGATGGAATCTCCAGGAGCTGGAGATGAGGCCAAACCATACGGCCATGCGTAACATTGCTAGGCAGCCTATGCTCGTCGATGACCCTGAGCCGACGACTGTGTCTCCTACTCCAGGACAGCCGAGCGACGCCCAGACGCCGGCCATGCAGGGAAACCTGCCTTTACCAGATGCGCCAATGGCCATCATAATTGGTAGTTCGACATCAGAAGAAGTAGAAGGCGATGGTTGTGGGTTAGATGAGGATGACGTCACCATCCTCATGATGGACGTGACTGGTGAGGAAGAGGTCGATTTCGACCCTGATGAGTCTGAATCATCATCACCATCGGCACAAGAGCCACTTGCGCCGAGCTCCACCCAGCAGGGAGACCTGCCTCCATCGAGCGATCCATCTGGGATCGTAGAGGAGCCCCCTAAAGCACCTCCAAGGGGTGCCGCTCCTGCTGCATCGGCAGCTTCTTCTGATGAGAACACCAGAAGATCTCGTTCCCATACGCGCGTCAGAGAAGAGCCACATCCCCAGGCTCGACTTCCTCGTGAGTGGAGACAGGCTGGCCCAAAGGAACACGCTCTCAGAAGAGGTGGCCAGCTACTTCCGCACAACGACCCACGACGCCGAAAAGGGGAACACTCGGCCTTTGGCCAGGGCAAT